AAAAAAAAAAAAAAAAAAGAAACATCTGGTGGTACAGCCTCCATGCACTGAGGCTATCACAGCAGGTGATTGTGTAGTCATCATCAAGTTGCCCTATTTTATTCATGTGTATATTGAGAACATACTATCCCTGTGTTATGTGCAAGGAGTGTATCACTTTGTTTTAAATTACAAGCAGTGTCAACACTTAGGTGTATCAACCAGGATTGCTGGTTGAAAAAGGGCAGAAGTTGGCTGGGTGTGGTGGCTCACCCCTATAATCCCAGTACTTTGGGAGACTGAGGTCGGTGGATCACTTGAGGTCAGGAGTTCGAGACCAGCCTGGCCAACATAGTGAAACCCCATCTCTACTAAAAATATAAAAATTAGCTGGGGCATGGTGGTGGATGCCTGTAGTTCCAGCTACCTGGGAGACTAAGGTTGAATACACTCGCTTGAACCTGGGAGGTGGAGGTTGCAGTGAGCTGAGATCGGACCACTGCACTCACTCCAGTCTAGTGACAGAGTGAGACTCCATCTCAAAACAACAACAACAAAACCCAGCAGTCCCATCATGGGGTCTCCACCTGATGACCTTATCCTAATTACCTCCCAATGGCCCCTACCTTTAAACAACATATGAATTTGGGGATTAAGTTTCTAACACATGAAATTTAGGGAACACACTCAAACCATAGCAGCCACTACCCTCCAAATTACATGCAAGTGGAAGGCTCCCCAGAAGCCAGATGGAGACACCATCTCCATCAGGGGGTGTTGAGAGCTGGACAGCCAGTGGAATACGTAGGTGATGCCAACATGGATTTCAGCCCTGGTGCACCTAGCTGTGTGAGGAGCAACTGGTCTCAGTAGTTAACAGTGCTGCTGCGGAAGCTGACTGGCTGCATTCAGGTTCCGCATCCTCTACCTGCCAGCGAGGTGATCTTGAGCAAGCTGCTTAATCTCTGTAAAATGGGGAGGCTAATAATACCTAGCTCCATTTGGCCACTTGGCTTATTCCTGTAACCCCAGCACTTTGGAAGGCTGAGGTGGGCAGATCACTTGCAAGCACCTCAGCAGGTCATGGTTTTTTTCCTGGTGGATTGACGCAAACCTTCATTCCTGAAGGATCTGAGTCATATGTGCATACAATAGCCCTGGATTGAGCTATTGTAGTTTCCCATTGAACTTAATCACAGGGCATGGTAATACTAAGAGGTGCCGTAATGGATCTCCTGTATTCCCCGTGTATTCTTCCTTACTTCCATTGTGAAGGAGTAGACTGATTTCATCTTGATAGTACAGGCCATAAGCCCAGCCAACACTGCAACTTCCTTCTTAGCCTATTAACTTAAAGGTAGGAGAAGCCTGAAGTATCCAGGTGGCAATCTTAACTTCTAGGTTAATGGAATCATTGTTGTGTATCCTGGTGGCAGCATTCCTCTACCGGAACCAAGGTAGGCCAGCAGAACGTAATGTCTCGGGAACAGGAAGCAAAAATTTTGCTAGTGGATCACTAGGGGTGACGGTGAGTGGTGCCACTTCCACCCTTTGATTCCTGAACCCATGAATCCTGGCTGTGGGAAAAGCAGTGCCATATATTGGATGCTGATTCAGAGCATACACATGACCTTCCGGAGAATTCTGCCCCAGCCCTGCAAAGTTTTGTCACCTAGTGGCATTATAATTGTGACTTCAAAAGGCCATTCCACTGTTCCACCAATCTAGCTGCTTCAGGATGATGGGGAACATGGTAAGACCAGTGAATTCCATGAGCATGAGCCCACTGCCACACTTCTTTAGCCATAAAGTGAGTGCCCTGGTCAGAGGTAATGCTGTGTAGAATACCATGATGGTGGAGAAGGTATTCCGTGAGTCCACAGATGGTAGTTTTGGCAGAAGCTTTGGGTGCAGGATAGGCAAACCCATATCTGGAGTAAGTGTCTATTCCAGTGAGGACAAACCTCTGCCCTTTTCAAGATGAGAGAGGCCCAGTATAATCAACCTGCGACCAGGTAGCTGGCTGATTACCCTGAGGAATGGTGCCATATTGAGGGCTCGGTGTTGGTTTCTGCTGCTGGTAAATCGAGCACTCACCAGTGGCCATAGCCAGGTCAGCCTTGGTGAGTGGAAGTCCATGTTGCTGAGCCTATGCATAAGCCCTGTCCTTGCCACCATGGCCACTTTATTCGTGGGCTCATTGGGCAATGACAGGGGTGGCTGGAGAAAGAGGCTGAGTGGTGTCCACAGAATGGGTCATCCTATCCACTTGATTATTAAACTCCTCCTCCGAGGAGGTCACCCATTGGTGAGCACTCACATGGAATACAAATATCTTCAGTTTTGACCACTCAGCGAGGTCCATCCACATACCTCTTCCCCAAATTTCTTTGTCGCCATTTTTCTAATCATGCTTCTTCCAAGTCCCTGACCATCCAGCCAAATCACTAGCTTATCTACATGGTAGAGAGATTGTAGACCAGGCACAGTGGCTTATACCTGTAATCCCAGAACTTTGGGAGGCTGAGGTGGGTGGATCACCTGAGGTCAGGAGTCAAGACCAGCCTGACCAATATGGTGAGACCTTGTCTCTACT